AATGTATATACTAATTCTACAAACATACTTTTAAATCTTATAAAGAAGTTTGTATCATATATAAGGCTCCCAAATGTGACCTGAGTTTGAATTATGTTAAGTTTAAAGCTGAAACCACAGCCTGTGAGAAATGGGAACAATGGATCCCTAAAGTCAGCCATGCCTGTCATACTCTCAGAACTTCATGCTTAGATCATCAAAGTCCCTACTAGTGGGTCATGCCAAACAACAAAGAAGGAAGGAGGGAATGGGCCTTCAGCTCCTGAATGCAACCTGGTGGTCTCAGGGTCCGCAGCCCACCTGGATCCCTAATGCTCAGGCAGGCCTCCACAGCGGGCTCCCAACATCTCCCCCTTTTCTACTTTTTAGCATGAACTCATGAAACTCGGTGTTGAGCTGAGAAATTCTTTTCTTCAACACCTTGAAAATAATTGGAAGCAGGCATAGTAATGCAAGAATCACTGCTCTGCAAATTCCCACATTAATGAGTATAGACATCAATGACTTTTGGTTGACGGATGATGAGAAATAATTAAATATACAACTGGCTAATTCTGAGGACTGGAACTGTTTCTTAGTGACAGTTATGTCCTGTAATTCTTGATGTAATTTAGTAAGGTCTATACTCAAGTCCGAATGATTTCAAATTCCAAGAAAATATGATTTCTTATTTTGTCTCAAGTATGGACAGACTTATTTACCTCTAAAGGAGTGAGGCAAATCCATTTAAACTCAGAGTGACACCGGAGAGCCAATTTTATCTTTAAAGTCACAAACTCTTGTCCTACTGCTAAAATTGCCTCCTCCAAAGCATTAACTCTATGTTTTAACTTTCAATCTATAATCTCCTGAGTAGCTAATGCAATAAAAACATTCTTAGATAACTGATCAGCAAAGGTTGCTGTGTGGATTTCCTTAGATAGAGCTACAGCTGAAACTGTTCTGAAGTAGCAATAGCTATCAAAGCTGTAATTCCTAAAATTAAAGAAGTCAAAAATCTTTTCTGTCTTTCCAAAAGGGAACTAACCTCATACAGTGTCTGCAAACCATATTTATCATACCAGCAAGATGACAAGTATACAGGAATCATCAAATAAGGTGGCTGCTTAAGAATAACAAAACCTTCGTAAAAGGCATTAATGAAACAATTAGTAAAATACACTCAGTACAAGACACCTTATAAACATTGTTATGATACTCAATTTTAACAGTTTGGTACTCATTCCATACTAAAAACACATAAGAGGACTGTAAGCATGCCCTAATGTGGTACTGCTGAGTTTGTCCAACAGGCCTAGACAGGCTGACTGGTTGAAGGGCTGTGAGAGCTCTCCACAGATGAGGCTGAATGGCTTGTCTGACTCCAATTTAAAATGAAAGTATTGGGGGTACCCATCCATTGGAGTGCCTTCTAGCTGCAGCAAGCATAGAGCCATTAAAACCCCAGTCACTAATATATAGTCTTTCACCGGGTACATAGTCCACCTTAGAGTTATAAGCACAGTCTCTCCATTTTGGGAAGCCAGCATCTTGCCAGACGAGTGACCAGTCCTTTTCCATATCATTGAAGGGGCAAGCAGGTACACTGAGAGGCAATGAAGCTCTAGTCATACGGCTAGGTGGTTCCTCTAGGCATTAACATCTCCAGTCACCAATCGTCCTTGATATTGTCCTGATAAGGGCTTTCTGTACTCAGAGACTTAAAGGTGGACATTAAGCAAGAAGCCTGGTAATTATTAAAAGCAGAATTATCATAAAAACAAATAGGGAGGGAGTTGGAATGTCCTTCATAAGAAAAATTATGATTAGTAACATGTTTGACTTGAGCATGAAATAAAGCAGGCCCTCCCCTTTTCCTGTAAGGAGAGCCTTCCATTTTATCAGAGGTTTTATACTTCCTTCTGGATTTCAATGTCTAGCCATAGGTGAATAGCCTAAAGAGTCCAAATTTAAATGATTAATAATAAATAAAGTGTGACTCAAGATGTGGTGAGGAGAGCTATACTTGAACTCACCCTCTTGTAAGTTAATTGATTTTAAAGTTTGGTGAGCTCTTTCAACTATGGCTTGACCTTGTGGATTGTAGGGAATTTCTGTGGAATGAGAAATATTAAATTGGGAGTAAAATTGCTGGAAAGATTTAGATGTATATGCAGGACCATTGTTGGTTTTCAGTCACTTTGACATACCTAGCTGTGAAAAGCAAAAGAATAAATGTTGTGCCACATCCTTGTAGGCTTCTCCATGAAGCTAAAATAACATGAGAAAATGTATCCACAGTCACGTGCAAATAAGACAATTTTCCAAAGCTGGGAAAGTGAGTTACATCCATTTGCCACAGCATGTTAGGTCTCAGTCCTTGAGAGTTGACTCTTCCTGGAGCTGGAACAAAAGTTTTTAAATTCCCAGAGAGTAAACCGAATGTAAATTATTTACAATCCTTAAAGGTATAGTAAAGAAACAATTCTGCAAGTCAATAACTATAATATTAAAGTTAACAGGTATAGCAATCCAGGCTGCAACACTCCCATGACTTCCATAGTAGCATTAATAGCTCTTAAATTCTGTAAAAGTCTCCATTTATCAGATTTTTTCTTAATTACAAAAATAGGAGTGTTTCAAGGGCTAGTGGTTGCCATTCAGTGGGGCTAGTAGAAGGCTCTATATGACTAGCCTCTAATGATTGTTAAACTAGTTTTTTGACTGCCTGAAGCTTTTCTGAGGTCATGGGCCATTGTTCCACCCAAACTGGTTTGTTGTCTTTCCAGGTAATCAGTCTTGAAAACAATGACCCCTAAGGTAAATTCGAATAACTAATACCTGTTCCACTAGTTTTCTTAGT